CTTCATTTCGAGCGCCAAGTGGTAATCTCCACGAACGACGTCAAATTCCTTCACCTTGGGATCGCCAACACCTTCAGTGCAATCCTTGCAACCATCCTTATGAGTTTTGTTGTTGTCCGTGGCCAATTAGCTCCTCGATATCGAGATGAAAAAATCAGTGATTATCAGCGTCAATGGCGTATCAGCGTCAAATCCTGTTTGGAGCGGAAAAGCGTGGCCCGTTCTTGCTTTTTTTGGAGCGTCAACTCTCGCTTTTGCTGCTCTGGCGGCAAGTTACTATGGAGATCCGGATTATAATCCCAGGATTATTTCGATTTTGCCGCAGTCTGACCAGGCCCTTAAGAGCAACAACAGTGAAATTTACAAGTGTGAATTTTAACAATCAAAGCGAGAAATGAACAAAGGAGAAAGGAACGGCGGAGGGAGCAGTGAGTCGGAGAGCAGTGATGGGAGTGATGGTGAGAATGCCGGTGAGAGTGTTAGTGTTGTGCGTAGGTTTCGTAGTAGCAAGTCTTCAGTGTACAAACATCTGCTAGCTAGTCCTGATTGTTGCAATTCGTATTCCGACTCTTCGTTCACTGTATTGTGCCGTGGTCGTCATGGTTATGGACTACAGTTATAAGTGTTGGAAGCTATCTATCAGCGTCTGTGCAAGCCTAATTTGTGTGTACAGAAAGATAGTATAATTGGGTTGAAATTGTTCAAGTAACGTGTCGTGTTTAGTGCGGCCAAGCTTGGCCGTTAATGTTCTACAAGTAGGTGTAATGTACTGCTGTTATGTGTTATCACTCCCTTAGTATTGACTCGCATAGATTTTTGCCATACCTAAGCAGTCAAATATTCCTGCATATTTCACTCCTTAGGGCTATATTGACTGCTTATATTTGACTGCTTAGGGGTTGCGCAGTTGAACGGTGCCTAGTGCAGCATTTTCACTGCATGAGTAGGTGGTGGTGCAACGATTGTGCAATCATAAAACCGGGATTCATGAGGTTATCGTTCTGGAATTTGAAATACGGACTGTTTGTCGTGATAAATCTAATATTGACTTCGTACTTGGTCAGTATTTTATTGATCTGTCTCTGCACATACTACAAGGTATTATTAATTTTGTGATGCAGCTACTAGCCCATTATGGAACTAAGGGAAGCAGCCAGAGTTTTTGGATTCTCGTGCTGTCCCAAAAATCTCCACGTTTTCCCCTTCTCGTCTTCCCCTCAGGCATGAGCTTGGATTTCATATTTGGTGTTTGCTTTGGCAGTGCATTTGATAGGTATAATTCAGACTTTTAGGCCTGTGGAAAATTGGTGTTTTCCTTCTCGACAGTGATAATAAGTCATGTACAGCAATGGTTCATGACAACAGGTTATTTATTGATGTTTACGGATAACCCAAAGGCTGGTACAGTGGAGTGCCTATGTCAAGGGGTGTTTCTGGACAAACAAGCATCATGTAATGAGCTCAGCAGTGAGCGAAAACAAAAGCAATGGGATCGATGAACATATCGCGTTCAAAACAGTATGTCTCTTATAGGTTACCGTTCACGGTAACCCTTTCAACCCTAATTTTGACATACATGGTGCGTATTGTGTGCCCAGCTCGCTATAACATGGACCTTGCTAAAGCATAAAACTTGCCGTGCCCCAGAGAATATATAGTGAGGTCTCACCTCTAAGATGAAGTGTGATACCTACTGTAGCGGACATGGAAATCCAGTCGATTGACCGGGACAACGCCCTCAGCGCGTACAGAACGCTGCGTGCAGTGCACATGTTGATCCGATGCGACCAGCACGCTGCAGCGCATAACTGCATGTGTGTGCCGCTTATCCACGGCTGCATGGCCAGCGCCCTGGGGCCGCTAGATGTGCGACCGGATTTCCATGTCCACGACAGTAGTTATTGCATAGGTGTGAACATCATTGTAATTGAATGCACGAATCGAATTCATTTCTTGGAGCTGACTGCTTTAATGTGCTCCCTGAATAAGAGACCCTTCGCACTTTTCCAGCTCATTTCGAATGAAGTTCCATGAACTCAATGAATACCTTGGGCACCATGTAAGAAGATCTTGGGGCCTGTTGGGAATGCTCCTGTAAAATAAGAACCTTACACTACAATAGGAATTGCAGGTGGCTTGAATGTACAGTCCTGCTCAATGAAATCCGGCCACGTCACTCAAGTTTGCGCCTCGCACCATTTCGCAGCCCAGTGTTCGCAGGTCTAGGGTCATGCAACGCCTGGCGCGTACTTGAGTGACACGACTGGATTTCAGGATTTCATTGGGCAGCACTGTACTAAGGCTATTCTCCCATACAAACAGCATGGTCATTGGTGCTGTTGGCAAGATGAGATTAACTAGAGAGGTCTTTCTTTAAAGGATGGCTGAACTTTTCTGTATTTCTGTAGCATCGTTCCCATGCCATGAATTTAATCATGAAATTCGTTCGCGAAACCAAGACTGCAAGAGGCTTCCATCACCTTACTATTATTGTACCTTCACTTTCTTTTACCTTTTTTCATGCAGGATTCTGAAAGCTAGAGGAACCCCACTAGCCCCAAGCACTGAGCTTACAACTTCCAGCCACGAATCAGGCATGGTGTATCACGTTAGTTGTTATCATTTCAGGGTATACTGGCAACAAATTTTCTCCTTGATTAGCAATGGTGGCCTGAATTATTGCCTTGCAAACCTCTGTTCCAATAAGCGTCTGGTGCCTAGTCATAGCCTAGTTCTTTCTATAAAATGGCTTATGGGTATGCTGCAGCCTGTGCTCTTTTTATGCCATTCACTGGCCTTGGTGCTTGTCTGGAACTTCCTGTAACTGGTGCCTGGCTCGGCATGCTATGTATGATGTAGAACGTGCTCTATATAACGTATATTCTGTGCGCCATCTTCGAAATCAATCGACCAATTGTTGCCCAACCTGTTGATTTGTCCCGTCCGGAACACGATGTCGCTGTGCCCATGGTGCACTGTAGACTCAACATCCCGCTTCACATTTAGCTTCACAATCACACGTTAATGCTGCTAACATGTTGTCTCGCACTTGATGGCATTGCTCTATTTCTGCCTTTAGTATTTGACTCTACTCTTTTTGCACTGCTATAATTTTATGCTACTTTAAAGCTCAGTGTTAATATTGCGTGAGTCAAGTTTGCGCCCTGTGCCAGTTCACAGCCTAGTAGTCACAGGTCTAGGGCTGCACAGCGCTCCGCATGGCATTCACTCGCTTGATTGGATTTCATTGAGCAGCGCTGTAGTATTCTGTGTTGGTCGATATGTCCTCTAAGTGACGACTCCTGTCTGTCACTCTGTCTTGAAAAGGACTTTTCGACTTGGTACTATGATCATTGTGTGTGGATTCACGAGTTACTCAGAGTAGAATTCACTATTAATTTCACTATAGTAAAACCTGCCCGGGAAGGACGCCTTGCTGCAGTGCAAACTGTCCTGATGTGAAAGGACTCCGCTTCATCCACAGCACTTTGGTGCATGAAAATCTGTCCGGTCAATACAGGATTCCGCTTGGTACAGCCTGGCAAACACAGGTTTTACTGCAATCCAATTTCTCAATGCATACGTTTCATCGCATACCGGTATGTTACGATTTTATTATGACATTGTGTGTACGGTTGGGGGGCTGAGAAAGTGTACGTTTTGTGAAGCCGCTGCGAACAGCGAAAATTATGTACAGGATGTTGCAGGGTTCCCAGGTATTATTTTTCAAATCCTCAAGGCGCACAGCGCCGCCGGGATTATTTTTCATAATCCCTGCGGACATATCCTGTATAGACAACACTTGTTGGGTGAGCAGCATGAACCAGTGTGAACGGAACACTGAAGATGGAAATTACGGTGAAGCTTAACAATTTGTGGCATTCGACATACAAAGAATGATGCTAATTTTCATACATGTAATGCAACACACATGCAAGTGCTGTTGCAGTACAAGTAAATTATTGTATATGCAAGCCGTGCCTGATAGGTAACATGTTTTCACGGTGGCAGTGTGAACAAGGCGAGGACGCACTGTTTCCCATACAGTACGGCCTCGCCTTGTTCACGCTTATTGTATAACCATGATGAATAATGATTCACGATATGAACACCTATAGCGGTGAATATTGAGCAATATTCACTACTTATGTAGATGGGAAATTGTATGTAGGTGAATATGCCAATATGGAGTGAGCTACAGAGTACAGTACACAGGGGTAAAGCAGCTTTCAGTGCCCCAATCATTGATTTCGGGGAATATCGTGGTGAATTTCGTCGAAAACACGGTTTCAGGAAACATGTGGAACTCTTAAAACATTGAGTTTGTAAGAATGAACTGCAGTAGCAGGCGCGTAGCATTGCCGTTGGAGGTGGTCCGGTTGGAGGGGGTCTGGGGGTGTCCCCCTTGATAAAATTAGGGTGCAAAATCCTGCATTCTGGGCACTTCTGGGCGAAAAAGTGGTCCGGCCAAAGCCTGACCGGCTGGACCGGCTGCTACGCCCCTGAGTAGTCGTGTGAAATCCTAGAGCAGACACTGCTAGCCGGCTCCGCATATCCGATCATTCAGGAGTACATTGAAGTTTAAAATATTCTCAAAGAAGCGCGGCAGCCGGGTTTGTAAGAAGAAAATGCTTCGGCCATTGTCATTGACGAGTGATGAGAACCGTCATTCCATGCCATTTGAGCTAGCAGTAGCACCGGACAATACTGTCTGCGACAGCAAGCACTAACGGAGCAAAAACAGCCATAATGTGTGTGAATGCGGAAACGGGCTGCAGAGGAGCATTTGCAGAAAAGAGCCGTCTTTCCGTGCTCGGGGTTCGTATCATGCCCCGGGTGCTCGAAAGCCTTAGTGGGATGCCACCCAGATGCACTAAATATCGACCCACAATCTCCACATGGTTCCAAGTGTACCTGCTGCGGATGCAAACAGACCAGAATGCCTGTATTTTGTTGAAATGCATTGCAGGGTCCACTGAAAGGAATACACAAGAAAAAGAAAAAGGATGAAAAAAAGGAACGAGGGAAGAAAAACACTGTGGCTGGTGTAGGAAGCAAATACAAGGATTAAGAATCCTAGAGACCAGCAAGTTTCGTCAAAACTGGAACTCCAAGCAGCTTGTGATGTTTGATGAGAATGGTAGTTACACCACTGACGGGCACTGGCCACGGGTAATGGACATGTGCTTTGAACACCATGCAGCACCTGAAAGCAACAAATCAGACAAAGCAGTACCACAACATGCCCAATCAGAAGTGTTTGTCACCGTTATCAGAATAGCAGACAAAGAGTTACACAATGGAGGCATCCGTAAATACCGATATATTTTTCAAGACGACATTGTTCATTTCTCCCCAGATCGCCCCCCCCCCCCCCCAAACACGAACATGCAGACATTTCTGCTGGGATCGGTTTTTTAAATGAAGTGGCATGTCTTCGTGAAACGTGACCAACGGCAACTCCAAATTCACGGTAAACCTGGGTTTACACTGCCACGGTCATGCAACCTTGCCATGGCTATATTCATGTGGTTGACCGTACTACTCTCATACTCGTGCAGGAGCATGTACATTTCGAATATTTCAAATATTCCTGGCACAAACGTTTGGTTCATTACATTTGTCCTGTGTTCTTTTAGACTGGTGTGGACGATGTCAAGAGTAAATACCCCCCCCCCCCCCCAAAGTGTGCAACTCCCACATACACTGCTGTCATGACAGAATTTCAAGTTGACATCATTTCCATGATGCACTGCTCCTCGCACGAGTGATTTACGACGTTTCTACAGGGTATCAAGGTATCACACATGTTTCCTTGCATGAATTTGTACAGGAAAAATGAGAGATTTGTGGAACCACAGTTCCAGGATACGTCTGATCATACGTGTGCACTGAGCATTGCATCATAAAAAAGACGTTAACTTGGGATACTATGTCAGTACAGCACCCATAGTGGAGTTACACTCTTCGGGGGTTATGTACTCTTGACGACGCAGACGTATAAACTATACTAGAAAATTCCTGGCATCGCTAAAATTTATCCACATATTTGTCATACAACAGGCATATATACACTAGAGGAGAGTAAAAGTCAGTTTGCCTGACTATCCACGACAATCTATGGTCACGAGTGTGGACAATAATGTATAATGACAACTCCAGCCTGCTCTCACTATCGCCACCGAACAAAGCTTCACAGACTGTAACACGACGTACATGTACCTGTGATGTCTGAAAGTAGTTTAAACTAAAAACAGTTCTTCACTTACTACAAGAAAGGCAGTTGACATACACATGTATTATTGTGGATTTTGCATAGGCAATTAATGTTAGAAGCCTAGCCACCAAACCTGGTTTGGATACGCGGCATAAGAAAAAACAATTCGACGGGTTCGCGTACCGGGCAGGTCAAGAACAAGGAGTCGTACAACTCCCTGGTCAAGAACCACGTTTCCGCTTCCGTGGGACGCCACCTCATGATCAGGCATCAGATGCGGCTCCTAAACGGTGGGGGAGGATAGATCAGATCCACCAACCGGAGGCCAAAGGCCTCAATCCCATTTGCCACATCCATGTATTACTTATGCCAGGCCACGAGTTCCCAATTAACTGTGGGTCGCAGCATGGTTGGAAAAAATCCTTCCGCTTCCAAGCAGGAATACGCGGCATAACGGTAGGTTATTCAGTTTACACTCACCCACTCCAGCTGCTGGTTGCAGTCGTGTTAGACAGGTGCAGCCAGTCAAGTACACTTTGCAGGGATCTATTGTCAACGGAGAATAACGCCAGGCTGTGGTACCTACATTGGATACAGAATGACAACGGTGCACACAGTAAAAGATAATAGCATTCAGGACCTATTTCAGCTACAAATGCTCAGTGTGCCTGTGGGGTCTATGGACAAAATCGACAAAGAGGCACCGTGGAAATGAATGCATTGCCAGGATGCCAGCAGAGTGCTACATGGCAAATCGATCCAACATGTAAATCAGCCACCACTGAGTGGTGACATTAAGTCATTAACCCACGTGATGTGCCAACGTGCTGTGGATCAAACCCCAGTAGAGCTCCCACCCACAGAGCCTCCGCCTCATTTGCCGACACCAAAGAAGGAGGAGAAAATGGAAGAGTCAACTCCAACAACATCATGTGTCGCGCAGGCCAGGCCAGGCTGCACATGGTCCCCACAGTGTAGCACAGTTTTTTTTTCTTCCAGACTCCTGAATCGTATGCACGAGGGTGACGAGAAACATAGAAAAAAACGTGTGGCCTAATGCTGATACTGTGCAATCTAGAACAGTGCAATTAAGATGCACTGACAGTGTGGTCTCTTGTTATCGCTCAAGTCACAAAATGTACTATCAACTGCCCACCTCTTTAAGGTAACCGATGACCAAGAACCAATGCCCTAATCATGGTGTGGGGCTTCGGCTAACATCTTGCAACCACAGTCAGCCTGTCACAGGCCTGACAAAAGGCTGTGGGTGCAATTCCAGCTGCAAGACCACACAATGCAAGTGAAAAAAGGAAAGTCAGCCATGCGTGCCAGGGTACAAATGCCACACTTGCACCAACACCTCTGTAAGGGAAGAATGAGACAGCTCCAGTGAGCAAGAGGTTGATTCAAGTGAGGAGAATGAAAAGAAAGAAACCAACCAGTAATAAATTAGACCAAGACTGAATCAATGTCCACACAGGTGATGCTTCTGTTATTTTGACTACTAGACATATGGATGGAGACTTGGAATATACCATGAATTCTGACACGATATACAGAAAATACACACAGTTCCCCAAGTTTAAATGGACATTGGCTATACAGATACGTCCCACGCATCCTGAGAATTTGCGCAATCTGAAGACTCCAGATTGCGCATGCATTCTGGGGTGACACAAAGGTATTTGTGGCACACGGCTAGGCATGGTGGAAATTAAATCCGCGTCCCTGAGCTATGGTGAGACTTTTGGGAACACACCCAAGTACGCGTGAGGCAAAATTCACGTTACTGGTTCATGGGATTTGTTGACTTCATTGAAAACCTGAAGAGCAGAGCGAATTCATGTGGGGCGCAATCTGTGGATTTCCCTGAAAAAACATGAAGAGTATGGCGAATCTGTGCGGGGCACAATTTTGTGGATTTAGCTGAAAAACACAGTGAAGAGCACAGCGAATCCAGGCGGGGTGCAATCTGTGGATTGCGTTGAAAAACATGAAGAGCACGGCGAATCCCTGTGGGGCGCAATCTGTGGTCCGTGTGGGCAATCTGAAATTTCCCAGATTGCGCAGCGCGATCTGCAGATCGCGCAAATGGCACGTATTCACTGAAGGCGCACGTGACTAGCGCTGCGGGGAAACAAGTAGGTTTTCTCATTTGCGTACATAGAAAATTCGCACTTTACTCTTGACTTGTTGAGCCGTCTCGAACGTTGTATTCCGCAAATTCCACTTCGTGGGTTACTATTATTGTATACCTTGAAGACCAGTAGTATAGGGCTTGAAAGTGATGACGTCAAAAACGGCCAGGGAGTACTAAGTTGACATCAGATTTCTATTTTGGATCCACTAAGGTGTGACTTTGCTATTGCCTCAGTATGTGGGTGCATAGCAACCCACTCATGTCGTATGCGGGGGTGACTTTTATTACTTAGCCACCAGTTGTAACCCCGCCCCCAGTAGCCAAATCAGTCAGTTTCACTGGTTACATCACCTTGCTGTGAGTAAGACGGCTTGAAATGTGCTTGGATCCATACAAAAACTGGATCCAAGTGGATCCAATTTTTGAATTTTTGAAATTGTTGCTATTCTGTGACGTAGCACTTTCAAGCCCTATATCGAAAGAAACTCACAAGTTGCAGCGATTAGAGAAACTTCTTTTCTACGCATTTGTATACATTTGTATGCGGAATCGAACAAGTGTCCCCACAGCGTGGCTCACGTGCGCCCATACCATGTATGCCGCGTGGGCGTCGGCCATTTTAGATGAATACATGCCATTCTCAGAATGCGTGGAACAGATACACGGAAAATACAATACTTCCGATGGAAACGGGAAAATACCGAGAATACAATCCATCTGCCGTCATATGGGTGAGACACTATTGTAGTGGAAGGCTGGTGTATATTGTGATGAAAATGTCTTTTAATGGACTTTTTACACATAATCACCAAAAATATTTCCATTTCATGCCATTTTAGTTAGCAGTAGGTCTGGACATACATGTAGACATAATTAGGACAAAATCATTGCACAAGAGGGCTAGGACTATCTTTCTGCTATCTCGGATATTGTGTAAGATTTGATGGAGTCAATTATTTCCAGGTGAATATCAAAGAAAAGAGTGAATTTCCCAATGGCTAGTTGACCCCAAAAATATTATGCATCACTTTAGTACTTACTCAAGTCGCATCAAAATCCTTATCAGCGGGCTCCAGGCTATAGAACGCCTCCAGTGGGTCTGAATGTTCGACAACGTAGGCCATTACTTCTTCATGGCAAGGAATCGTCATCTACTGTTTTATTTACTGAGTGATGTTCCGCCAGTCGCCAAGTACTGATTGCATTGATGCCGTTCACCAGGAAGTAGTAAAATACCTACCTATAAAGTTCTTTGAGTAGTAAAATACCTACTCCGCGAACGGCTCACAATCGATCGATTTGGCTTTTCTTTTTTTGCGCGATCGATCGATAGTTGCGCGATCGATCGATCGTTAACGCGTTGCGCGATCTGTCGATCGACAGATCGCGCAGCCAAATCGATCGATCGCGCAGCCAAATCGATCGATGTGGCAGATCCATAGATGGCGCACAACATTATTACGTTGTCTTTCCTTCCTTTCTCCTTTGTTCATTTCTCGCTTTGATTGTTAAAATTCACACTTGTAAATTGCACTGTTGTTGCTCTTAGTGTTATTTCTCTAACTTAGATTTTCTATAATAGTTCAATTTTTGTTTCAGTGTCCTTTAGACTTTAGTACAACGACGATTCCTGATGAGTGTTGTACGAAAACTTGTTTGAATCCATATTTTTTCCCTACACCATTTCTTCATATTTTCATCGTGTTATTGCACATCGTCTCCACCGTTTTTACATTGCATGAATAAGGTACACAAATGTCGGTTCAGCTAGTTTTAGGCTGCGTTCGTTTTTAGCTACCTGGTAGAGTAGAGTAGAGTCACTTAACCTATAGAGGTAGATGGTAGAGGCAAGTGTACGAACGCTGTTCTACCAGATCTAGTAGTTTACACGATGTGTACGTGAAATGTTTCTTTTTTTATGGAGTTGTGTGCAAATCCTTGATCTTGCTGGAAATCCCGTAGCTCTACCAACTTCTACCGGATTCTACCAACTTTTTTCCCGGCAGAGCCTGATGCGTCTAGCACATCTCAATTCTAAAATCCACCGGGAATCCACAGGAAAACTACTCAGACTACACTGTTATTATTCATTGCAAAAGAACACCGAAAGGCCAAACCGCATGGTGAAGACTAATGTCTAGACTACTCAAGGATTCTCTGAATCCTTGTGCCATTATAGAAGAGAAAATACAGAATGTGTAGTGCGCCAAAGTTAGCGTATGTACAAACATGCAATAATTACAACGTGCAATAAAAGGAGTACAAATATCCGGCAAAGGACACGAATGGTGTACGGTAAATGAAGACACGTGCATGCATGAGTACCCTAGCAAAAGTGGACAAACCTAACGTAGATCCACGTGGTACTAATCGAGTACCGTACGCTACATATTTATGCAAAGAAATATCAAATAACATAATTAGAAATTCGACGAGGAGACAATAATTTTAATATGGCAATAAGTAGGAGTGTTCAAAGAGTGGAACCTCAACATCAACCCTACCAAGACCGAGTGGACCCATCTATACCAAGAAGAGGATGTTGCAAGAAGAGGTGAGGAACGATGGAGGTCCACCCGGTTGCTTGGTTCACTGTACGGAGTCACAGAAGACCTCAAGCGCCGGCGCCAGCAAGCCGCAGCTGCCTTCAACACACTTGTCAACCTGTGGATGCGGAGACAAGTTATCTCTGAAGCAACCCGCCTGAGGTTGTTTGATGCATTTGTGCTATCTATTTTGACCTACAACTGCGGCGTGTGGGTGCTTTCATCCCGGGATGCTACAGCAATGGATGCGTTCCACAGAAAGCAGCTCCGCCGTCTATTAGGGATATCTTACCCGGAAATTATCTCCAACACAGACCTATATGCCCGCTGCAATGCCGAGCCAATATCCGTACTAAGCAGAAGAGCACGGTGGAAACTGTTTGGTCATATTCTACGCCTCCCGGAAGCAACTCCAGCACAGGTGAGCATGACAGCGTATTTCCAGCGACAGAATCGGGGCTGGCTCGGACGCCCGCGCATCACCCTACCAGTGGTGATAGACAACGAATTAGCTAAGGCAACGTCCATGCGTCTCCGGAGTCTGAAGGACCTGGAGACACTGCGTTTGGTGGCTCGGAACAGGCAATCATTCAACGATATAATCGCACAGGTCACATTGTAGAGTGCAGATCACCTAGTGCTTTCAACAATAATAACGTACTTCCACATTATGGGAATTTGGTATAACCCCACACCCGTCATTGTTGAATATTCGATAATAGCGTGGATTTCCCCAACAATAATTATATTTTCATTTTTTGTTATCCTCTCCCATGCCGTTGTACATAAGCGGCTTGCCGCGGATATGTCAATACTACTAATAAGTAGGACGAGCTGAAGTGACATGTGGACTACTTTATTAACAATGTAAGCGATGGAGACGATGCAAGAAACAATCTAAAGGGTAAATAAAATACATGTAAGAAGAAAAAGGGCAATGGAAAAAAAGATGATTCGAACAAGTTTTCGTACAACACTCTTCAGGAATCACCGTTGTACTAAAGAACAAAATGAGAACAAAGGAAATAATATAGCAATCAAGGTAGGGTGACACGATACAATGACAGCACTGGAATATCGAGGTGCGATTTCTCACAAAAGTGTGTAGAACACAAGGGTATACAAGTAAGAACTAAGCGTGACAAGTGTGTATCAGCAACAAAAACAAAAAAGTGAGAACGAATGATAATAATAACAATAATAAACAAGAAGGTGACAAAACACATTTAGGCACAAGTGGCAACAACGTTGCCACACTACACAAAAGAACATTATTTGAACAATTTTAGGGTAATAACACTATCTTTCTGGACACACAAATTCGGCTTATGAATGCGCTGACAAACAGCTTCCAAAACTTGTAACTGCAAAAGATATCTTTTTAGTACAACGGTGATTCCTGAAGAGTGTTGTACGAAAACTTGTTCGAATCATCTTTTTTTCCATTGCCCTTTTTCTTCTTAAATGTATTTTATTTACCCTTTAGATTGTTTCTTGCATCGTCTCCATCGCTTACATTGTTAATAAAGTAGTCCACATGTCACTTCAGCTCGTCCTACTTATTGCCATATTAAAATTATTGTCTCCTCGTCGAATTTTTAAATACTTCAGGTCGAGATATAGCCAGACACAGATAGATATTCTGAACCATGCGCTGAAGTCACGATTTCATTATCGTAGTGTAACATAATTATTAGGGAGGTTTCGCTCTACGGAATTACGTATGAAAATAACGTATGAACTGCACGGAATTTTCATACGTAAAAATCAGAGCTGTTGGGTTTCGCTCTACGTGATTTCTCCACGACTGCTAAACATGCGTTGTTGCTTTGGAGACGCGTTGGCTGCATGCGCCCACCGTATGCACCATGAACCGAAACCGCGTTTTCCATGATATTATGCACGTGGTGTACGGTGTGTGTACCTTGTGTTTCGCGCGGCTTGAATGTTGCCATGGACAAATGCGGAAAATGCGAAAAAATATTTCAAAAAGTCCTACGGAGGACCCAACGTAGGAAAGAGCTCTCCTACGGAAATCCGTAGAGAGATTTACGTATGAAAGTTGCCCTCGCTCCCCGGCGCGTACGACATACGGATTTTCATACGTAATTACGTAGAGCGAAACCTCCCTATTACCGTAAAGTACCGCCAGAGCGCCCCACCATCTCGTCCTTTCGTGGTCGTATTGTCGAGGTGGTCTGCTGTCTGTAGGTCATACGATATGAACCTTGTACACATATAGCACGTTTTGCATTCAATCCGTACCTTCGAGTGGACACAAGCTCCACACAAAAACCTGCCAAGTGTGACCTTAGTACACTAAGCTTCTTACATCGTACGAACTTCGTTGCACTCTGCCATACGATTTTCCTTTCTCTGGCTGTAAAATCAAGGTGGGGCGCTCTCGCGAGACGGGGCGCTCTGGCGGTACTTTACGGTATTATCATAAAAGAATGCAAATAATTTAATTTCAAAACACATATTATATTATGTACATGTACATGGAAAATCTCCGTAAAACAAATCGTTAAAACCGGAGGCTTATCGCAGATCACAACAAGCCGGTAGAGGAAAGTAGAATCTACCCTTTTGAGTAGATTTTTTTTCAAAAAACGAACACCTCTACCGTAAGAAGTAGTTTCTACCCAAACCTGTAGATCAAAAACGAACGCCCCCTTTAATTGCGGTTATCAAAATTATTGTCTCCTCGCCGTGTGTTTAAATAAATAAATAAAATAAAAAATACAGACTGTATGCGTGTACACGTGGTCCACGAAAAAAGAGGGAATTTTCAAAATTTAATAATTATTTTGATTTGAGATAACAAGCTGAGCATAAAAAGCAATCATTCAACTAACCACTTGACAATTATTATTAATTATTATCATGTTCAGAGCTCGGAACAGTAGTACTACGGATAGTTATACGTTTCCACCTCCTTCTGCCATCTTCCCCCTGGTGGGTGAGCTAGAGCTAGAGTGACAGTCGCTGAACCTATCGTAAATTTTTGTTTAGCTCTTTGTCTCTGATAATGGCAGCGAATGAATCAGCGGCTCGACCTGTTGTACATCAAGGAGAGAGCACTCAGAAAGTTATCTTCCTGATGCCCTGATTTTGGGGCCCAGAAGCCCAGCTTGGCTGCATACCAGGAGTCCTGAGGACAAGAGCAGGTTTTGCCAAGTGGACTGAAGCAGTCGACGTGCGGTACGATGCGCAGCAGTGCGATTTCAAATCCCTGTTGAGCGTGTTCTGGGAGCATGAGATGACAGGCGTGTGTGTCAGCACTCATGAACAAGAGGAAATAGCTTGTGCTGAAAGATCTCGTCAAGGAGGTGCTGACAGCGGAATGACTATTTACACGGGCATATGTTTGTTCATCTCGGCAAAGAAATCTGGACAAAAGGCTCTGTTGCAACAGCTGGCTCCTGATGTATTCAGTGCCCTGAACCTACGTAGAAAGTGTGATATCGTGGAATCGTGGGCAGCAGCAAGGCTAAACGGCTATGTATCTGGATATGGTAGTGCTGAGCAATGTCGTCAAGAGTGGCAGCAGTTTGGAATTACTGACGATACCCTACTTGCTA